CCCCGCGCCCCGCGGCCCCGCCGCGCCTCTCCCTGAGGCGGCCTCGGCCCGGCTGTGGGAGGCCCGGACGGCGGGGAGGCGGGAGTCGGACCGGACCATGCCGGAGCGGGCCGTGCCGCGGGCCGCTTCTCCAGTTTGAAAGTACCTCTGCTTTCCCGTCTTCTCTCCTTAAATGGTTGTCGCTTCCCACCTCCCACGGAGGGATGAGTTAGGCTCGGAGCTGGCGCCGACTCGGGTACCCGTGCAGAGCCCTCGGTAAGCCAAGGTTGGTATTTCTTATTCTTCCCTGCTGGGGGGACGCGAGCTTCCCCTCCCTGTTAGGCCGGATCGTCTGGGATGCCCTCGCCGTTGGGTTGCTCCTGCCACGGTTAACGTTGCCTGGGGTGGCGGCTGGGCTGTGCTGAAGTTTTGTATCCTGTCGAGCCTAGGTGCTAGGTATCGTAACTGCGAGCCCTCCCTTCGTGTCGATGGTCAAGGTGAGCTATGTAGGAGAAAGAGGAGATCCTGCGTACCAGCAGGGCTGCGGTGGGGGCCTTTGGGCGTTTTACTGCCCCAAATTGTGCCGGCGGACAAAGTAACGCAGTGTCCCTGTAGGCAGAAGTGCAGTCTGGTGGTCCCCAAGCTGTGGTGCACAATCTGGTTTCAGCTGAATGCTGGAGGAGGTGGGGACCCTGGGGAGTGGGTTCCTCTGATGCTCCTTATTGCTTAGTTTTAAATACAACAAACACCTTCCTGGAAGACCAAGGTTTTACTTGCCCTGGGTGAGGGCAGGTGGTTTGATGCAGAAACGGGTGTGCTCTTACGGGGGTGGGGTTCCTTGCCCAGGAGTGCTAGCTGCTGCTTCTTCCCAAGGCCTGGACACTTCCTCTCTCTTGAGGTGTGTTGACGTTGCTGCTATCTGCTGCTCACTGGTGGGTTTTACTCTTCTCTATGTTGATAGCAGGTTTTATTGGACATCTCTAGAAAGACTGGAACCTTTCAGTGAGCAAAACCTCTGTGATGCCCTATAGCAAGGCCAGGCAGCACCTCCAGTGTGTGTTGTTTGGCTCCAGTGTACTTTTATTCCATGGTTTGGTAGGAGGTTCAGCTGAGCCATTGCTTTAACGCTTCTTTTATCTTCACAGAGAGTGCTGTGCACGATACCTGTGGGTTCTGTGTTTTGTCTGTGGATAGGATAACGTTGAGGGCAAACCTTCCCCTGAGCTCTCTGGCTCTTTCTAGTCTACAAGTGCTGCCCGGAGAGGGGGAGATCTCTTAACATACATCCCTTGGGTAACGCGCCCGATACCTGAGCGGCAGGAGGAGCAGAACTGCTTCACAGGGGTGTTTCAGCTAGGGTGGGATCAGGTTGGGATTTGCCTTGATATCTGTAAACTCTAACCCAGTAGCTTCTTGATTGCACAGCATTTGGCGTACTTCAGCCCATGCAGAGACCCCGATGTTCTCAGTCAGTGCCCCCAGCGGGGCTGAGAGATCCAGCAGCTGACAGCCTACGGGGTAATGGCTGAGCTGGTTGGGACCTGGGCAGTTGTGTTGCCTCTCATGAGAGCGTGCCACTCAAACACGTGCCTGGCTGTGGCTGAGCAGAGCCCAACACTTTCTTGCCTGAGCATACCTTGTCCCAGGCCCTTCATGCAACAGCAAGGGGGGCTCCGCTTCTGATTAGCTCCCCCACGCTGGCTTCCTGGTAGCTTTGCAGGGACGCAGGAGAGTTTTCAAAGTGAGCTGTGGGGGGGAGGTTGGGTAGAGACTTGCCCTTCTTTTCTCCGAGACCTGACACGAGCTGTCTTCTTCCTTGCAGAGCAAGCTGCTCCCTGGGCTGCTTCCCTCGCCCTTCCCAAATGCAAGCACATTGCAGCCATCACGGAGAAGGGCCTCCTCTTGTCTTCAAGGCACTTGCTTCTGCCTCCTGTTCTTTGTCCAAAATAGAAAAAGCCAAACCAAATCAGTCCACAAAGAACTTGTGCTGATCTAAGGAGGAGGCTCTGGAGTCCCAGTCACCTCTTTGCTTCCCAAGATCCTGGCTGTGGGCTGGATTTTCTGTCCTCGACTTCAGGGGATCAGCTACGGGGAATCAGGAACTTGGATACTTTTGATTTTTGTTTTTACTTGAACCCTTTCAACTGAGAAGCTGAAGCTGTCACTGCTAAAATCCCGGTTTTTTTTCCCAAGCATGTCAGAAAGCTGGCAGCAGCAACAGCAGCAACCACAGCAGCCGCCGCCACCGCAGCAGCACCACGCTGGGGCAGCCGCCCTCCCAGAGCACTCCATCCCGCCCAGCACTGCTGACAACCCCTTGGGCTGTGCTGTCTACGGCATCCTGCTCCAGCCGGACCCCGGTCTGCAGCACCACCAGCACGCCCCCATCCAGGCTGGAGAGCCGTCCCACAAATGTGGTGTGTGTGGCCACGACCTCGCTCACCTCTCCAACCCCCATGAGCACCAGTGCTTGCCAGGCCATGACCGCTCTTTCCAGTGTACCCAGTGCCTGAAGATCTTCCACCAGGCCACCGACCTCCTCGAACACCAGTGCATCCAGGTGGAGCAGAAGCCCTTTGTGTGCGGCGTCTGCAAGATGGGCTTCTCCCTCCTGACCTCGCTGGCGCAGCACCACAATGTCCACAATGGCAACGCCATGAAGTGCTCTATCTGTGAAAAGACCTACAAGCCTCCCGAGGCAGAGCATTCGCAGCCTCTCGACCCCTCGGAGAAGCCCTACAGCTGCTCCATCTGTCAGAAAACCTTCAAGCACCTCTCGGAGCTGTCCCGGCACGAGCGCATCCACACGGGTGAGAAGCCGTACAAGTGCACGCTGTGTGACAAGAGCTTCAGCCAGTCGTCCCACCTGGTGCACCACAAACGGACGCACAGCTCGGAGCGGCCCTACAAATGCACCGTGTGCGAGAAGACCTTCAAGCACCGCTCCCACCTGGTGCGCCACATGTATGCGCACTCAGGGGAGCACCTCTTCAAGTGCAACGTCTGCGAGCTGCACTTCAAGGAGTCGTCGGAGCTGCTGCAGCACCCCTGCACACCCAGCGGGGAACGGCCCTTCCGCTGCGGCGAGTGCCAGAAGGCCTTCAAGCGCCCCTCGGACCTGCGGCAGCATGAGCGCACGCACAGCGAGGAGCGGCCCTTCAAGTGTGACCTCTGCCAGATGAGCTTCAAGCAGCAGTACGCGCTCATGCGCCATCGCCGCACGCACAAGGCCGAGGAGCCCTTCAAGTGCAACCTGTGCGAGAAGGGCTTCGTGCAGCCCTCGCACTTGGTGTACCACCAGCACGTGCACGGCATAGAAAACCTCTTCAAATGCAACGTGTGCCAGAAAGGCTTCAACCAATCCTCAGAGCTGCTGCGGCACAAGTGCGTGCAGAACGCGGAGCGGCCCTTCAAGTGCGCGGTGTGCAACAAGTCCTACAAGCGGGCCTCGGCTCTGCAGAAGCACCAGCTGGCCCACTGTGCCGAGAAGCCGCTCAAGTGCACGCTCTGCGAAAGACGTTTCTTCTCCTCCTCCGAGTTCGTGCAGCACCGCTGCGACCCGGCCCGCGAGAAGCCCCTCAAGTGCCCCGACTGTGAAAAGCGGTTCAAGTACGCCTCGGACCTGCAGCGCCACCGGCGCGTGCACACGGGCGAGAAGCCCTACAAGTGCCCCTCCTGTGAGAAGGCCTTCAAGCAGCGCGAGCACCTCAACAAGCACCACAGCGTGCATGCCCGGGAGCAGCAGTACAAGTGCATGTGGTGCGGGGAACGGTTCCTAGACTTGGGCCTGCTGCAGGAGCACAGCGTCCAGCACACGGCCGAGGGCGCCTACCAGGTGGCTGCCTGCTTGCCGTGAGCCTCCCGCCTCGGCGGCTTTCAGCTTGCATGTGACGCTCTTGAGCCTCAGCCTCCCCTTCCCTCTCCTCGGTTGTAGACGGCCGCCAGGGAGTTTGGGGGAAAGGGGAGGTATGGTGGGCGGGCAGGTAAACTTTCCTCTGGCCTCTGTGGTTGATACGCCGCCTGTATCGCAGGGCCAGCAGACGACGTGAAAAGCTCGACGGGGTGGAGAGGAAAGGAGGGAAGTGGGGAGAGGAAACAATGCCTGTAGTTGCCTGGTGTCCCCTGGACTGTAGTTCGTGGTGTACCTGCAGTTCCAGTGCTGGGAGCTCAGCTGTCTGCTGTGGGCACCAGCCCTTCGCGTGCAGCCTTTTTCCCCTGCCCTGCCTGGCGGGGTCAGTGGGGAGGGCTGGGTAACTCTCCTCCTCCTGGAGACGACTTGGGAGCAAGGCAGGGCCAGCCCCCCCTTCTTGTGGGGTGCGCTGCTTGGTGAGGAAGTAGCAGGTTTCTGCTGCTGGGATCTCCCACCTTTCTTGGTCCAAGCTCAGCTGAAAGGACCATTTCAGATCATTAGCGTTGATTGACTGCCCCAAACTCCACTGCTCTCCCTCTTTCTAGAGTGTAGAAAGGGAAAAGCCATGGGGCTGCACAGCTCCAAAAAGCACTTTGACATTGCTGCTTTTGCAGTCGCTGTCTGTCACACTCTGCAAGGGTTCTGAGCGAGCCTGCCCACCCCCTGTCCCTGCCAGCAGCATGGGGAAGAGTAGCAAGCGCTGCGCCGCTACCGAAGAGTGTGGCGGGGAGAGCCTCTGTGCCCTACTCCTTGCCGAGAGCCTGGCGTTTAAGAGCTGCTTCCTGAGGGACCTAGCTCTCCTGCCAAGACTTACCTCTAGGCCCCTTCCCTCTTTGCACCGCTTGGGCTGTTAGTGTACCTCCAGGGGGGGTCAGGCAAAGGGCCATCCCAGCAGTTCGAACACTAAAGGGCGAGACGAACACTACTACTAACCTACAACTTTGGAGGTGTTACCATCACTGACGGTAACCCACACTGTGTGCCAGGGGCTTGGTGTCTGATTTGCTGGTGGGAACCAGAGTAAGCCAGGAGAATCCTTCCTGGCCTGTGGGCTCAGCTTCACAGGGAGGGGAAGGTTAGCAGTGGGTAAAGGAGGAGCGTGGTTTTTTTCCCCTCTTGCAGGAGTCTTGTTTTACCCCTTTACTCTTTCTTTACCTCTTCTGTATTTTTCAGGTTTTGCACAGTTCTTGTAAACATCACTCAAATAAATTTCCCCTAGCAAGGTCGATGCAGCCTCAGGTGTTTTCCTCTACAGGATTTTGCTGGCTTCTCATGACCGAGAGACCCGTTACATGCCAGTTAGATGTCTTGGAAGTTGAAGGCGTGCTTACTAGGTTGCCCACCAGCCTTTCCCTCTCCATCTTTAGAGATACTAAGATGTTACGTATCCATCTGTGGAGATATTCAAGCCCTGACTGGATGTGGTCCTGGACAACTGACTGTAGGTGACCCTGCGTGAACAGGGGGTTGGACTAGATGATCTCCAGGGGTCCCTGCCAGCCTCAGCTCTTCTGTGATCTTGGCTGGCCCTCATATGAGGTAGGAGTGTTGTGACAAGCTGTGATTAGTGAACAGCAGCCAGGAAGTTGCCCATGTGCTACACAGGCGATTAAGTTTAATAAATGTTGTCCACAGCAAGTATAGATAGATTAACCTTGCAGAGGGTTGGGCTATGCCTGCTTTGCTAGGAGGGGACGCTCATCTGAAAGGTGGAAAAAGGCTTTTGTTTCCATTTCCAGCACAGCGAGGGGAAACGGAGTGCGTTTTCAGGGACAGAGACAGTTCAGTGACAGACGTGACCCTGGGGCCGAGTATTCTTCATGCGCAGCTTTAAGGAGATTAAAGCAGACCTTGCTGTCTGCTGCCCAAGGAAGAGGGATCTTACTTCATGCTGCCTCAAAGATGTAGAACTTCCTACCGAGTTTTCTGTCAGCGTTTCTTTTTCCTTTTTTACTTTTTTTGCCTTTTTTTAAAGCAGTTTGTTAATATTCATTAAAAAATACTGTATAGTTTAACTCGATGTCATACTGGATCTTTAAAAAAAGAAAAAAATGTGATAACTTGGATTTCTAAAGAGCTCTTTGGTTCTAGATGGCTGGTTTTTGCTGTTTAATATGTAGTAAGTTCAGTGTATGCTTTACTGTAGGAGTAAAAAATGAGTCCAAACCAAGGAAGGCTAATCCTGTCTTTACAGAAGGGCTTGGTGGTGATGGAGGCTGTGAGCACGGGACTGGGGCCAGCTGGGCAGCGCAGCACCCACCTGAACCCTCACTCTGTTCCTGCCTCAGGCCATGGTTAGCTCTGCTCTTGCCTGGAGCAGCTGCTGCAGGTCCCACTGAGCCAGGGGTCTAGCAGTTGCCCTGACTGCTTGAGCACAGCACCGGCAGCCAGCATCAGTGCCCAGAGCTGGGAGCTTGCAGAAAGGCTCATCTTTAGTAAGAGGAGGGCATGAAATGGAGGCTGCTGGAGCCTCCAGGGGCTTTTGTGGCTGTATTTCTTTCTGGGGCAGCTGCTGGCTAGAGGAGGGGTTTGCAGAAATCATTAGCCTGGTCTCTGGATGGCTGTGCCCTGCTCTTTTTCCTCCCCAGGGGACCAGGTGGCTGGACAGCCTCAGGTGCTTGGGGCAGAGGAGGATGGCAGTGGGCCCCAGACACAACTCCACACCGTGCGCTGGCTGTGGAGCTGCTGGATCCTGTCCCCTGGGCATAGGGAGTGTTTCCCTTGTGCTGAGCAGCTGCGAAAGCCCTCAGTGTCACAGCGAGGAGCTCCAGCTCCTCTTAGGACATGGCAACAGCCAAGAAGTGCCCTAGGCAGAGAGAGCATCATCAGGGCTGTGCGCTCAGGGCCCTGTGCCTGGTGGAGAGGGATGCTGTGAGGAGCTTGGCAGGGATGAGCCCAGGTCCAGGTCATCAGCCTGTACCTGTGAGTAGGTGCCTCCAGGTTCAAAAACATCTTGGTATGGCATTAGAACATCATTAAGTAGGACTGCCTGTGGTGACTTGGCCTCTTCATCTTGTTTGCTGCCCTGCAACAGCCCAAATCCAGTAGAAGCCCATGGTAGCTTCTGCTGCCAGACCTTGGTGCTGGTGGGTGGAGGGCTTGTGCGGAGCAGGCGGCTGAGCCACTGCCAAGAGCCTCGGGTATATTTTTATAGGGAGATTGTCTAGTTAGAAGCAGCTGTGTTGGGTACAGGCGGGGTGGGAGAGCAGGTTGATCTCTGTTGCTGTGCCTTTGGGTCATGTTTTGTACCGTGAGGTGCACGAGGTGATGGAAATAGCAGGAGGCACGTGAGTGTCAGGAAGTGTGGTGCTGGGTGGGCAGGCAGGGGCTGGCCTGGAGGGCCAATGTCCACTGGGCATGACACTGCAAAGGGCTCTCTGCTAACTGCTGGTGTTTCTTTTTCAAACCAAAGAGCAGTTGGGGCCAAAGGCTCTTGGGAGTAAAACCTGTACCTGTATTGCACTTCACTTCTGAGATTTATTTCAAGAGACTTTCACACTTCTTCATGCTGCCTCTGCTTGGCCTCTCGCATCATTTGCCCACCCCACAGCACCCAAGAGGGTTGCTGTGCTGGAGCTGGTGTTGCATCAGCCCCATGGCAAGTGCTCCTGCATGTCTTCCAAGACCTGGTTGCCAGACCGCCTGAGGATGCTCTGTAGGGCTGGAGTAGGGGATGGTCCCTCCCGAAGGGTTTTTCTCTTCAGCAGGCAGCTTGAGCATAGGATGCCACTGGGGAGGTGGCAGGGGGGGTTAGGCTGGCCGAAGGCAGCGTGGATGTTGTCCAGGAGATAAATCCTGCTCTCTAGGGCTGCTGTTCCTCTGGGTTTCTGGATCCAGGAAGAAGGTGTTACCTGGGCTTTTTTCCAATCTTCGCTTCTGCTTACCGTGCCTACTGGATGCCTTTAGCTGTGTCTCGGCCTCTTCCCTTCCACAGCTATTCTGCTTATACTTTTATAAGACCTTCTAGGCTTCTTTGTCCTTTGTTCAATTCTTTATTTGTAAGCAGCAGTTTGGTTTTCATCCCTTTTTCCATTTTGCTTGCAAGGTCTTTTCCTCTTTTCCCATCCCCTCCCCACCCCAAACTCCTCTCCCAGGCTGTGGCTGGATCCATGTGATTCCACACCACTGGTAATGCGGTCAGGTGTTTGAGACCTGAATCTCGCTGGAATCCAGTGGGTGTTTCTGGTACTTCCCCCCGCCATGAGGCCATCTGTCTCTCTGGGTACAGGCGATGCCGGTGGCCTGGCAGCTTGGCTTGGCCGGGTTGTGTCCCTGGTACAGCTGGCTCTGGCGAGTGAGTCAAAGCCAGAATCAGGAGCCAGAGCAGAGCTGTAGGAAATGGGCACTGGGGTGAGAGCGGCCATTGCCATGGTGAGTCCCCTTGCCACATCTCCAAGGCTGGGGGTTAAGTCAGTGAAGGGTTGTCAGACAGTCCTGGGGAGAAGTCATGGTGTTGGGGTAGGGCTGGACTGCTCAGTTCCCCTGGGAATGCCTGCGGAGCGGCTGTGTGCATAAAGCAGGCAGCTGAGCTGATATAGTCGTGGCATAGACACCCCTGGGACCATGAATACGGCCAGGCAGCCCTGCCAGCTCTCCGGGGAGCAGATGCCATCCCTGCGATCTGGGTGGGAAGACGTGCACGCTCTGGCCTTGGCGCTGACACGCTGGGGTGGGGGGCAAGGGGGAAAGCGTCCTCTGATAGTGGTTTGGGACCACCTCTGGGCACTCAAGCCTGGCCTTGCACTGTTAGGAGGGAGGAGAGCACTTTCTGCACTTCCCTTGGGTATTTACCATCAAGTCCAGGCTGTAGCTGGAGCCTGGCTATTAATAATAAGCAAAAAAACCTTATTGTTCTTCAAGGTTTGACTCCTCCTCCGTTGGGTGGCGAGTTCACCTGCGGGAAGGTTCCTGCACATGCAGGCGTAATGCTGAGATGCAATAACGGCAGGCCGGCAAGGTTTGGGGCCAGCGGTTCTTCCACGGGGCCCCAGTGAGCCCGGCTTCTCCCCAGCTGCCAGGTTTCCTCCGCAGCATCTCCCGGCAGCCGCCTCCGCCGCTTTCTGGACATGAAGATGCTGCTCTCACAGCGTGTCTGCGATGCTCGGCAGGGAGAGCAGGACCGCAGGTGGGAACTGGACCATGGGCTTGTCTCCATCTGTCTCCAAGCTGTGGATCTGAGGGATTTCATGGCCAGTGAGGTTCTCGGGCTCCTCCTAACCTGTGCTTGTGCCTCTGCCAGAGTTCCCAGGGCCGTGGGAAGTTGCGGCCAAGGATGATGAGGTTTGTGTGGCTTGCAGTGCCTTTAACACTGCTGTCCGTGTGTTTCTAAGATGATACTCCATGTATGTGTGTATATATATTGTATTAACACATCCTGCTCTTCTGTGTGAGTGTCAAATGGGTTTGCTTTACTAATAAATTTATAGTTATTTATACCTTTCTGTGGGTGTGTAAGATTTCTGGAGCGGAGGCCACGTGCCGGGCACTGCTTCCCCTGTCTGTCTTTGTGCTCTGTCTGGCTCTGCTTGGTATTTTTTTTTCATGTTTTCTTTCTTTCCTCTGAGCTTTTTTGATGGAGAAATGATGGTTCATCTGCCTGGTAACCAAAAGTCGAGACGCAGGATACAGGCAGGCTCCCAGGGGCTGAAAGCAAAAGCAGGCAGAGTCTGCAATGTGGTTTTGCCTTTTGCTAGAGGTGGACTGCTCCCTCCCTGGGGCAAAGCTTGCTGCTGGGGCTTCAGGGCAGAAGCAGGCAGGATTCTCTGCCTGCCAGAAAGGAGCATCTGTTTAGGAGGCAGAAGCTGATAATGTTGTGCTCTGAGGACCTCAGCGCCACGCATGACTGTTTCAGCTTTCCCAGAGGTTTTGTTTGCATTCCCCCAATTCTGTCATAGCAAGAGAGGAGCCCGCTACCTGCAGATGACCCGACTTCCTCCATCCCACACCCAGGCCAGGTGAGATGTGTGCTTGTCTCCAGATCACTGAAAAAATGCTTCTGGCTGAAGGTTTGGGAAGGGGATGGGATGGGAAACTGAGGTAAGAGTGGGGACAGCACTCGCCCAGGATCCTGCAGCTGGGAGGCATCTCAGCAACCCTTCTTGGCTGGCTGCTCCATTCCGAGCTCCTTAAATTACAGTGGAGAGGTGCTCAGGTGAAGGGATGTCCACATCTTGGGGAAGGGGCAGGACCCCCTTCCCCTTTGCTGACACTGGTACTGGGTCACTGGTCCCTCCGTGGCAGCTGTGCTGAGCTCTGGAAGGGCGTTAGTGCCACTGAGCAGGATAGTACCCAGTGGCAGAAGGGCGATACCTTTCCCAGCTGCCCTAATTTCTCATTCCTGGCTGGATTATTTCCATGGGAAGATGAAAAGTTAAACCGCAGCCGATAGTAAGCTGTGCCTGTGTTTGAACTTTGTGGTTTGAGGAAATATTCCATATCCTCAGGCCAGGCAAGCAAACTGCACTGGCACCACTGGTGCTTTGCACGGGCTTTTACTTTCTCATCTTTGATTTCCCTAAATCACAGCAAAGCCATGTAATTTTTGCACATGCTGGAGCCCCAGGCTCTGGCTGGGGAAGGACCAGGAGCGGCTGGTAGGAGCAGCATCCTCTCAGTAACTTACTAAGAGCCCCTTAAGGTCAGGTTGCTTTTCCTGAAGACCTTACCTAGTTGGTAGCTATTTTCCATGCAGGTATCATCAGCAGTCCCTCCTGCCTTGTCCCATGAACATAAAAGCTAGGGATGCAAATGAAAGGACAGCAGAAGTGGATGGAAAGTAGTTCTTCAGCAAACGTGCCAGGAATGCCGGCAGCATCACCCAGGTAAGGAGCAGAACCTCCCTCCCCAGGGTTCCTCCTGGGTATTCGCTTGCAGAAATAAGTCAAAGGCCTTTGTGGGCAGGTCTGGCTCAAAGACGAGGTGTCTTCAGAGTGTCTGTGGAGGTTTAGCCATCAGCAGATGCCACTTTTTTTGAACCCCTCACCACAGGATTTCACAAGCCTGAGCTTGCAAAAGTCCACTTGAAACTGTCCCTGCGTCACTTTGTTCTTTCAGGCAGCACCGTCTTCTCAGGTGGGACCTGGGCCAGGCTGCACCCCGAGGGGTGCAGGATTCGGGCCTGTGCCGCTTCCACTGCTGATCCTGCTGCAGGGGCAGCAAGTCAATTTAACACCGTGCCTGTCCAGGAGCCACTGCCTCTCCCCAGGAGCTTGTGCATGGGGCTGGTGGGCCCACTGCAGCTTGCTCCCTTTGCAGGGGTGGTTTTTCCTGGTGATCCAGGGTTTTCAAGGCGTTACGCAGCAGCCCCCATGCCCTGCTTTCAGAGCCGATCCTCCCCTGCCCCCCCGCCGCGTGGAGGCATGCATTTGGGGCAGCTGAAGTTGCTGACGGATTAAACTGAGATATTTTTTTGGGGTGCTGGAGAATCTCCTGCCCCAGCACTCAACACTCCCTGTCTCCTGCAGCCTGGTGATGGAGGTGGCATCCTGGTGGTGGCCATCTCCAGGCTCATCCCGTTTCCTGGGGCAGGCTGGGCCAGGGGAGGAGTGATGGTGGCCCATCTGCTCTGTATGACGATGGCACATGCATACAGGGCTTCTGCGCCTTCGGGGATGCAGCATGCCTTGCTTGCCCCTTGGGACCACTGGCCAGGGGCTACACCAGGGCTGGAGGTAGCATGAGCGGCTGGGGAGGCAAAGGGACATGCGGGGGTGACCCCGATCCCATTGCACTATGGGGGCTGGAGGTTTGCGAGTGGGTGCTGTGCCAGTTGGGGGTCTGAGCCCACGTCAAGGAGGGGGAAAGCAGGATGATCAGGGCTGCCTGGCCTGGGATGGGAGCCTCGAGCTCCTCTCCTGGCCACCATGGAGGGTTTGCTGCTGATTTCTGCTGGGGCAGGGATGGCTCTGCTGGACTGAGTTGTGGGGAGCAAAGTGGGGAGACCTGAGACTGGGTAGTGGCTTTGGAAGCCACAAGGCCCGGGAGAGTGTAGGAAGCACCTTTGATTCATGTTTTTGCCATTAAAATCAGAAGCTAATGCTGAGCTGTAAGCAGTCATCGTTCTGCTTCAGAGTGAACGGTGTCTCAGAAATACAGAGATGCCTTTTGGTCGGCTTCCCTGGGCCTGATGGGTCGGGAACAGGGTGTGGTTTGGGAGATGGCTGCTCTGTGCCTCAGTTTCCCTAGCTCTGAACCAAAGCTGCAGAGGTGCTGGGCTGGGGCCAGGCAGGATGGGTACTTGTTGCTTGCCAGGCTGGGGACACCCCCGGGGTTGGGGAAGGAGGAATCAGATCAGGTAGCTCTGGCCAAAGACAGAAGCCAGGGCTGGACATTGAGCAGCAAAGCTGTGCCAATACCAGGATTCCACGGAGTGACTGCAGCTGAGATTAGGGACGATGGGAAAGGCTGGTGGTCACTCAGGGCCAGAGGTAAACGGATCAAGCAGCAATTGGCAGGCTCAGCAAGGGGAGGCTTACCTCAGCCCGGCATGGATTTGCTACCTCCTGCCCCAGATCCTCTAGGTTTGGGGCAGAGCCACAGGTGGAGTAACCTTGGGCACGTCACCCTTGCATCGCCCCACAGGGTTTCAGCAGCCCCATTGCTGCTTGTCAGGGCATCCCTGCGCCCACCTGCGCCTGGACGAGACGACAGCCTTCCCTGGAGTGCTGCCAGGCTTGCACCTGGCTGGTGAGTGCCTGGGGTAGCTTCGGTGGCTCCGGGGATTTTGAGGATGCTCAAACCTCCTTCATTTGGGGGTTTTCTTTGCACTATCCTGCACCAAAACTGGGCTGTCTGCTGGGAGCTGGGGCATTCAGGACAGCTGGTTGCCAATAATCCCATTTGCAGGCAGCACTGAGCTAATCCCTGCAGAGCCCTGAGTGGATTGGGGTGGGTTTGGGGGGTCAGTGGTGAGCTGCGGTGGCCAAGGGAGCCCGCGCATCCCGGGGTGGCATCCTGGGGAGGTGGCGGTGAGTGTGTGGGGGTAAGTGGCAGCGCTGGAGGCGAGGGAAAAGGCTGGGGTTTCTGCGGGGTCACATCCGCACATCGCGGGGGAGTTTGGTGCTCTGAAAGAGCTGGAGGATGAACCAGGGCGGGGGTCCAGGTCTATGGCGGGGGGGTGATGGGGCAGGTCCATGGGGAATGATGCTGGAAGGGCGATGGAGCTGGGTGATGTAAAGAGGTTTGATCTGATGCTGGAGGGGAGGGAAAGGTCGTGGTGCTCCCTGCTCCGAATGGGGATATTGGGTGTGTGCCCCACTTCTTGCTCTCGGGGACTGGAGCCCTTCGCCTGCTGGCATGAGCCCCGCGGAGCTGGCACGATGGGCAGTGGCACCGGCCAGTGCCTGCGACATGGGGGGGATTGCAATGGGTGCCATCGCATGCAAATCCTGGCTGCTTATTCCTATTTCTTCCAGCAACTAGTTTTTTGGGGACCCACAAATGTTTCTGCCCCTCTCTTGTTTGCATGTGCCAAAGGAATGGCCCCAGCCCTCCACATTCCTTCCCGGGCCAAGGACAGGCTTAAGCTCCAGGCTTTTACAGCTGCGCAAGCTTCTATGGAAGGAGGAGGAGACCTCGGCTGTGGCACGGGGGGCTTGTTCTAGCCCGGGGGGCTTTCTCTGGGCTTGTTTGGGCTCAGCAGTGTATGTTGGCCCTAGGCTTCTTTGGGACTTGTGAAGTTCCCAAAGCATGGGTGGAAACGCTGCTGTGCCGCCAGGTTTTCCTTGCTGTTCCTGGGGCATTCGCAGCTTCTTAATCCCTTATACCCAGTGGGAGGTAAAAGGCAATTTCTTAATTGGTTTTAGGTCATCAGGCTTCCTGGGGGGTGTTTTACAGCTACCCTGTCCTGCTTTGGGGACATGGGGGTCTCTGGGAGAGCTGAGCCTGTCTGTGGTGTGCCAGGGGCTGGAGGTGCCACGTGGGGCGATGCTTTGGCCGCATCCAAACCCGGCTCCTGGACTTGCATGAGGTGGGGGCAAGCAAAGAGCTGAGGACACATCATCCCACCCAGGAACCTCATCTTGTTAAGATTTAAGATGCCAGGCTTTGAGCAGCCCCCAGTGAACCTCCTTGAGGGATTTGAAGGCATTCTGCATACCCAAAAGCTGAGTGAGGGGTTAATGTAAAGAGCCCAGTGCTGAGCGGCTTCCAGCCTGTAACCTGCTGCTATGTGGCACTGGGGCCATGTGTTAACCTGGGATCAAAACTGCCATGCGGTCTCCTGGCTGGGCTGGATGGAGCTCAGGGATCTGCTTTCTCTTGCCCTTCATGGGTGCCTCCTGTGAGCAGCAGCGTGGGGGCCACCTGAGCTGCTCCTGAGCCACTCATTGAGCAGGGTGGGGTGTATTTGGAGGGGTATTATGGGCAGAGTGGCGCTCTTTGGAGGGGCAGCAGCAGAAGGCATCCCCAGTTTGAGCTGGGCAAGAGCCCCCAGCCCTTGTCCTGTACCCAAGTGTGGGAACGTGCAGCATTGCTCACCTCGCTGGTGTTGCATCCCAGTCTGGAGTTACACCGAGAAGGGGGGGGACGACCTGAAAAGACCAAGCAAACAGAGCTTGAACAGCTGAATTCCTGCTCTGTAGCATCTTATTTTTACCTACCCCATCAACATCTTGGCAACCACAACAAGTCAACGCTGGCTGCCTTTGCTGCCCTCCCCAGAGCCCCAGGCAGGTGACTGCCCCAGCGGCCACCATGGTGATGGTGCAGAGTCGTTTCCTAGGGGCAGAACGAGTTGATACATGTGTTGGGATGTGAACTTGCTCATAAACAAATTCAGCTCAAATTACCATTGTTTTTCATCCCTCGAATGAAAAATGAGGGGGAGCGTAGAGGACCCTGAGCAGAGCAGCACAGTTTCTGTGATTTATCTGCTATGGCTTCACAAGCACTTCTCCTTGCGCAACCCCAGCCACGGAGGGTTGTGCAAAAAAACCCCTAAATGAGCAGTTACATTTAGGAAAAGCAAGTTTAACTGAGCCTGTGAGCTTGAAATAGAGGGTGTAGTTTGCTCCTGATAACAGTGAGGGGTCAGGGGTTTCGCTGGGTTTGGTCTGGCTGTGCTGCAGTGCTGCATTTCCCAAGCAGGACGTGGAGATAGAAGGATGCGCAGGGCCTTTTTGGGCTGCCCTGGGGACAGCGTGAGCAGCTGGGGTGCTCCCAGTATTCCCTGGGGAGCGTGCACCACTGCTGCTGGCCTCTCGCTAGCCAGAGACCCCTCCTTGCTACCCACAGGTAGAGGGATGCTGGGCTGGATCGAGCGGGTGGTTCCCCAGCCCCCAGTGCCCCATCTGACGGAGGAGACCCCCCCGGCCCTGGTGCGAGACCCAGAGCCAGCTAAGGTGAGCAGGGAGTCAGTTTGGGGGTTACCGGGGAGCCTGCGAGCACAGTGGAGAGATGCCTGGTGCCTCTGCGTCCAGCCCCGGCACTGCGGCACTCAGGGATGCACTGCAGCATCCCCAGGAGGGATGGGGGCCAGGATGCATCCCCCATCTGAGCTGCTGGGAGGCAGCAGGAAGGACAGGGAGTCCCTGGAGTTTGCGGCCACCTTTGAGTGGGGGACACAGTCCCCTGCGCCTCACTCTCTGCCACCTTCTGCCTTTTACCCTGAAGGCACCGATGGGAAAGGCCAGTGGCCCCGGGGATGCTGCTGACCATGCACGCACCAAGGGTAAGTCCCCATGGCAGGGGAACACAGTGGCTCGGGCAGCGGATCAGCATTCCTTTACCGGCTGGTCCCCTTCCTGCCCAGCATGCTGGGGGCTGGCGGAGCCGTGATGGGAGCTTTCATTTTTGTTTCCTGCTGCCATTAAAGAAATGGAAAAGAAGGTGGGATTTGTGGTGCCCGAGGATCAAGGCTCTGTGTTTGAGAGGTATTGCTCTTGCACCATCCAGCGTGCAACATGGTTTGCTTGGGATTTTGCTTTCAGTCAGGGGCTGAATGCCTGGGATGGGGGGGTTCCAGCCTGACTCACCCCCTTCTCTGGCAGCATGGGGAGCAGTGTGCTCTCCTGGCTCTCCCAGGGGCTGGAGAAGGTGATTCCCCAGCCGGTCCAGGCCCCAGGGACACTGCAGGCACTCGGGAAGAGCTTCGAAACAAGCATTGATGTTCCTGATCAGGTAGGTGACAGATCGGGCAACTCTCTGGCATATTTGGGCTTCCAGCTCTTTTTACCTTTTCTTATTTTTTTTCCCTTCCTATCACTCTCCCAGTGCTAACTGGGAACACTAAACCTGCCCTGCGTGGGCTCCTGCCTTTGTCCATCCCTGGAGAAAGAGTAGGTTTCCCTCCCCGCCTGGTGGGATGAGCCCCCCTCGGCTGCTGGGCAGGTGACGGTCTGTTTGGCTTTTCAGACAGAGGTCCAGATCCTCGGGGATGAGGAAGAGGATGCTCTGGGTAAGGAGAGCCAGGAGCCCACAGCTTGCAACATCCCAGGGGCCTTTCTGGGACTCCGGCCTCCCACATCCCAACTTCCTGGTCGGTGATGCTGGCACTATTGTCCCCTTGAGCCGGCTGATGGGGGGGACCAGGAGCTCCCAACAGTGCAGGTCCCAGCTCTCCCTCATCCCCACGGCACCACTCTCATTGCAGAGATAACCCCCTTTGATCCAGAGGAGGATGAAGTGGATGGCTGTGAGCCCGAGGCCGGCTCAGATACCGGCACGGAGTGGTGGGTCCTCAGGGAGGCTGGCAGAGGGATGTGGGAGGGCAGGAGGGGTGCAGGACGAGCTCCCCGACCACGGTGCTCTCTCCCCGCAGGGCAGGAGCACGGGTGCTCAGCTGGCTGGTGCAGGGCTTTGAGAGGATGGTGCCGCAGCCGGAGATGCTGAAAAAGCTGGAGGTGAGCACCGCCCAGCCTGGGGAGACTGGGGAGCTGCCTGGCAGAGGTGACAGCAGAGCGGGCTCCCTGTCCCTGTCCTCCTGCATGCCCTGGTTGGGACCTTGGGGAGGAAAACCCCATGGGAAATTCAGTAGAGTGAGAGAGACCTCAGGGCGCCATCCCAGTGCTCCCCAACCGGGCTGTGTGCAGGGGGGACCCTCCATCTGGGACCCGCTGGTGCCAGCAATGCCAGGGTCTGGGTTTAGTGGTCCTTGTCAATGCAATGGGGCTGAAACTGCAGCAGAGGGTGTGTGGGGCTGTGCACCTGAGTCCCTTTGGGGTGGTAGATGTACCCACCCAGGGACGTGTGGGCCACAGAGAGTGCTTTGCCACATCCATCCGTCCCTCTGTCCCTCTGCAGCCAGAGCCAAAGGAGCAGAAGTGCGAAGCCGTGGCAGGAGGTGAGCAATCCCCCTTCCCTGGGTGGCCTTTTCAGAGGGGACACTCTGCCTTCGAGAACCTGGGTGCAGGCAGGCACCAGCACTGGGGCTGCCCTCCATCCCTGTGCCCTGGGGTACCAACTGTGCCGAGAGGGGTGGGCATGCCGGGTTCTGGCATCACGGCACTGCCCCTACACCACATGTGTTCCCAAACCACCCATGTCCTCGTCTCAGGCTGGGTCCCCGGGGGAGAGGCTGCCAGGGAGGCCCCCCAAGCCTGTCCCTCTGTGGGACGTAACTCTTCCTTGCTTGCTCCCCTTCCCCAACAATTTATAAGATGACTGCTGCATTGCCTATCCCCCTTCTCCTTCCAAACAAACCTGAGCAGGCACGAAAGGCACTAAAACACAGGCAAAGTCAAAAAGCAGTGTTTCAGTCGCCCAGAGCATCCCGGTAGCAGTGGAGCCAACAGCAGCTGAGGGGCAGCCAGAGCCGGTGGCCACCCTCATCCCTCGGTCCCTGGCTGGGGATGGCAGCAGGTAACTGTGGTGGCAGCTTCTGCGTGGGTACCGTGGCCAGAGGGACGGCTGCCTTGGGATCAAAGGCTTCAGCAGCCGGGTCTAACAGTTGTTTCTGGTCACCAGGATGTTTGCCTGGTTGGTCCAGGAGCTGGAGAAGGTGATGCCACAGCCAGTGACCAGGGAGAAGCAGGACGCAGAGGTATGTCATCTGCTGGATAGGCAAAAGGGTGTGTGAGCACCATGTCCCTGGCAGGGAGGGTGTCCTTTGCCATGCAGATGTCACCAGATCAGTGCTGGGACCTGCCATGGTTTGGGCTGTCACCCAGCTCCTTCAAGAAAACAAATCTCCATGACCTGCTTAGCCAATGAAAACCGGGACTTGGCCTCTAAGCAGCAAGAGAGCCCATAGCCTGTGTTTTCTCTGCCATTTCCTTGCCTTTCTATGCAGCACTGGCTGGTGTCCAGGCCCTGGCATCTCACCCAGGTGCGGTCCAGCTCTAAGGAGAAGCAGCAGCAGCAGCAGCTTTACATGCTCTCCTTTCCTTCCCTTGCACCCAGGCGGGCTCACTGATGTGCTCCTGTCCTTCACCATCATGCATGGGGATGCTCATGCCCATGGCCAAGGCATCCAACATGCACTGGGAAATCACATGGGGTATTTAGGATAAAAGGGTCACGTTTACTGAAAATGGGCCATTTAGGGTAAAAATTTAAGTTTACTGAAAATGGGCAATGTCTCAGGTTTCCCGTTTCCTCCTGGCAGGGAGTGGCCACAGCAACTTCGAGTCCCGTGGAAGAAAGTAAGTGGTTGCTCCATCTCACCATGCTGGTTAGTTTGCCAAGGTCAGAAAGTGGTTCTTGGGAAGAGGGCCTGCTGGTGGCTTTTATCCCCCAGTCTGTTGTGACTACCAGCTGGGGAGCCCCTGAAACTCCCCAGGGAAGCCATGAGAGGCTGTTGCTGCTTGAGAAGCAGGAGCAGATCCAGAGTTGTGGCACAGGCTTGGTAAAACTTGGGCCGTGGGAGTCTCTCCAAGTGCAGCATCCCACATCTTCAGGTCCCGGGGTTTGAGGTTAGTGCTGACATCGAGGTCTGTCCTGGAGCTGTGCCGGAGGATGTTTGCCAGGCTGGTGGGATTTGATAAAGGATTACAAGGGAATTCAAAGCTGCCGCCTTCATCACCCCTTTTGGCATGTTTGCTGCCGAGCTGGAGGGTGTTTGCTGAGCCTGGTGTGAGATGTTGAGGGAGGTACCTTGGGAAAACAAAATCCTAGGATTAGATGTGTTAGATGTGAGTCTGCATGGTCGTAGGAAACCATTGTGGGGGTCACACCGCTGCTTGCCTGCCCATGGAAGGGAGCAAGCACCGGTTCTGTGGGCAGCCAGGCTTGGGTCCCCCCACCAGCCACATTGTGGCATGCTGAGCAAAATGGGGAGCCTGGCAGGGAGCCATGGCTGCCTCCACGGATGGAGCGGGCAGGGGAGATGTCACACAGCCCCATGCAAGCACCATCCCCAGGAAGGAGTGGTTGGCTGGGCCATGGGAGCCGCCGATGGCAGCAGGGACCCACCGCGGCACATGCAGGCTGTGCATCCCCCCAGGGACATGCCGGGAGGTTGTTCCCACCAAGCCAGCAGCCACTTGGTGGGATCTCGGAGCGGGAAATCCTGCAGGAAGGCATTTCTCCAGTTGTTTGTACAAACTGGAGACCTGAGCGTTGCCAGGGACCTTGGAAAGAGGCAAAGCCAGCAGGATGCTGCTGCATGTGCAAGGCAGTTGCACCCTTTGTGCGTGGCTGGCTTGTGTTACAGCTCGCTTTGGTGCCTTGAGGCATCTCAAGGTCACTTAGCCTGCCCAAGGAAGGGAGTGATTGGCTGGAGCGAGAGATCTGCCCTGGCACCAAACTGCCAGCACACTCATTAATGTTTTCCTTCTCCTTTTGTTTCAGGGGGCAAAGGGGCTTAGCGCCTCTGAAACAAATGGAAAATGAAGACCATGGCAAGCCAGCCCTTCTTGCCACAACCAAATGGGGTCAAACCAAGGAGAAAGTGCAGCTGGGGAGGAAAAGCAAGGGGGAATCTGCAAATGGTCTCTAGCTCCTTGCTACCTGGGGCGGCGGGGACCCGAGGCTGGCACAGTGATGCCGGCTGCGTGTCCCTGGTCCCAGGGCTGTCCCATGCTGGCTCCCTCTTGCCTCTGGGAACTGGAGCTATTGGTTTTGCAGGATGATGTCTATGAAACGGCAGCTATAATTTATAGGAGGGTAGAAAAGCATCACTCAGGACACCTTGGAGGCAGAAAGCCTCTTGCTGCAGCCTCCGAGCACTTCTGGCCCTCTCAATGCCCCCCTAGCATCCAAATATTCACCCCTGAGACCTCCAGCTGAAGCCTACAGGCTTCTTTTAGTTGACTTCTGCCTCTAAGATGTCACATTATAAGGCTCCTTAAGCTCTCACCAGCTTCTTACTGCTTTTCTTCTGTTAACTGAGTGTTTTCTCCCAGCAAGTGGAAAGGGCTCTGGTTTGCAGCAGCAAATGCAGGTGGGTGAGTTTAATCTCTAGGTGAATAGGTAGGAGTTAATGGTTAAAAGTTTTTGCCTGGGCTCTCCTTATAGGAGAAGTTACCCCAAACTCTCCCTACCCCCAACTACAGCTACTGTCTCCTGAAGCTCACAGTGCTTTGGATGCAGCACTAACCACAGGGGCAGGAGTGTCCCAGCAGGGAAGGGATCCCAGCGGCTGTCCCCAGCCCAGAGGAGTGTGGGCAGGCATAGCCAGTGCAGGCACGCTGGGCTGGATGGGGTGAGAGCCCCTACACCCCAGGTTTTTAGTACATACCTTAGAATTGCAGAATGGGTTGGGCTGGGAAGGACCTTTGAAGATGATGCGGGCCAACCCCCCTGCCATGGGCAGGGACACCTTCCACTTGGACCAGGTTGCTCAAAGCCCCATCCAACCTGGCCTTCAACACTTCCAGGGATGGGGCATCCACAGCCTCTCTGGGCAACCTGTTCCTGTGCCTCACCACTCTTATCGTACACCATTTATTCTTTATGTGCAACCTAAATCTACTTTCTTTCAGTTTAAAACTGTTGCCCCTTGTCCTGTCACTACAGGCCTTGGTAAAAAGTCTTTCCCTATCCTTTGTATAAGCCCCCTTGATATATTGAAATGCCACGATAAGGTTTCCCGCTGTCTGATTGCATCTCTTTAGGATTATCTAGGCAGCTGTAACAATGAGTCATGAACCAAGCAACCAACCTGAGATCCATCCCCTGTGTTTATAATGAACCCCACTGGTACCAGGCTACAGTTTTAGTATTTGCCCATTTTCCTATAATGTATCCAGAAGTTGTGGTGTGTTTTAAAAGCCATCTCCCTGATCGCTGTCCCACATTTTAATTAACGGAGAACTAGAGGGAATGGGCTAAAGGCAGTGTGGGCACCGTGGCGTGGGTAAATAGGGCACAGAGTCAACTGTGGGTGGGTTTTCTGCCTTTCTATAGTTGAATCTGCACGTTTCCTATTAGCTTTGCTGCAGACATGTAAGTTTTGTTGTCAGGCAGACCTCAAAATAAACTGGTTTTACAGCATGCGGGTGCTCTTCCTCCTCCTGTTTCTCCCATGTGTGCCTGATGTGGTAGGATGGGTACCCCTGGGACACGGAGAGGGCTAGCCGTGGGTCAGCCCCGTGCTCTTCGCTTTCCAGCTGGTCCAACAGCCTCTCCAGTAACTGCTGTGGGTTTTCCCCCAGCGATAGTGGGAAGTGGTGGGGCATGTGGGATGCTTCCTACACCGTGCCCTGGGGAGCATTCAGAGTGGACGTGGCGTGTTGCTTGGGGCATTGCAACGTGGGCTCTGGGTTGAGTCTTGCTCTGCAAAACCAGGGCCCTCAGCCTGTGCTAGCGCAGCGTTTTGCTCGGGGTTCACGAGGGGAAAGGTTTTGGTCTCTTCCTGTGGCTGCTTCTGTTTGTAAGGAGAGCCAAAATGTGGCCTGGAGATGGGCCAAATCGTCTGCTGGTGGAGGTTGCTACACATATAAGGAAGCCAACAGGCATCTGTATGCAAAGAGTTATAGTTTTCATGGGGCTTTGACTGCGCTTGGCACAAAATGGTGAATTTTCTTCTTCCTTCTGGCAAAAGTGACCGAGGCATCCATCCGGCACAGCTCGAGGGGACCGGAGCTGCACAGGTCTGCACAGGCAGAGAGGTCTTTCAGTCTTGGCATGCGGCAGCACCTCTGCATCGAGCAGCAAAAATGTGGGATCTGCCCTGGCCCTACCCCTGGCCTCTTGAAAATCTGCTACTCTCACTTCATCACCTCCCTTTCCCCATTCCCATTTCAGTTCATATTGTCCCTGAGGAACCCAAGGAGACCAACCTTGTCCTGGAAGAGATTGATGATGACTGGATTAACGAAGCCACGTGCGAGATGATGGCCTGGGGCCAGGAGGCTGAGCTGGTGGCAGATGTTCATCCCCTTCCCTCCATACAGGAGGAACCCCAGGAAGAAGAAAACAGGTAGGAGAAGGGAGATGCTGTTGATGGGCAGCTCTGCGTGCTCTCCAGCCACCAGTGTGGTGGCCATGGGAGGGGACGAGCATATTCTTGGGCATCTCTCCTTGCCAGCGCTGGTGGTGGAGCTGGCAGCGGAGAGCCGAGGTGCCCATTTCCAAAGAGGGGGGCACCGGCAGGACCCAAAAGGTGTTTGAGCAAATGGCGTTTCCTTTTGCTGTTGAGATTCCGGTGCTGAGTGGCAGAGCCATGAATGTAATGCTTCACATTGCCCTGCAGAGGACAGCTGAAGGTTGCTCTGCTTCAGCTTCCCTTAAGTAGACTTTGGCCCTAAGGCAAGAGGGTTTGGACCTCATTCCCATCAACTGTGCATCCAATTGTCATGACGTTTAGAAATGGTAGTCTTCTCTATATAAATTCATTTTACATCTTCCAAAAGAAACTGCTGCTGAGGCCCTCCCGAGGGCTGGGCAATGCGTTCAGAGCTGGGAGAAGGGCTGCGTTGCAGCAGGGAGATGAGAGGTGTCTATGCGCGCTCCCAAAGGGTTTGGGAGCCCCCCCAAATGCTCCCTGTGCCCAGCACATGTGCAGGCAATGGTGAGCACAGGGGTCTCCACCTCGGACATGAGTGATGTTCGACTGCACTAAGCACAAGTGATGCCCGGAGCCACATTCACTCAGCAGAGCTCTCTTCTGCTCAGCAAGAAAACACTGGACATGTTACAAAAATATTTTTCAGGTTTTTTTCCCCTTAATATGTGAGCCTGAGAAGATGTGGGCAGCAAGCATGTCCTATCCTGGAGGGTGGATTTCATTAACAGGGAGGTTTTGGTTAAAATCAGCAACAAGTTACCCCTAAGTACCTCCTCTCCCTGTGCCGCAAGGGGAATTTGAAGGCTCAAGGACTCTGTCTTTGCATTCCCAAACTTTTTCCCATTCTTCCTCCCACCCACTTGGGGCTGCAGGCACTAATCGGCTGTGCAGCAGCATGTGCCTGATTGTGTGTGTCTGTCCCCCCCCCAAGATGTTAGCTGAGGAATGGAGGGAGAACATCTCCGGCCAAAGGGGGTGCGGAGACTGGCAGTGCTCCTCTTGTGAGGTTCAGACATACTTTTTGGATTTCACCTAATGAGTTTCTCCTCCCCAGGCTGTGGCTGTGTTCCCTGAGCGCTGCCGAGGAGGAAAAGAAGGAGGAGGGGGAGGAGGAGGAGGAGGTGGAGGAGAGTGCGGGGTGAGTGGCTCCCATTGCATTTATGGCTTTGTTGGAAATGAGCATGAACGCGGTTGTTGTTTCAGCTGCATTTGCAAGCCGGAGAGGCTGAAACACCCGTGGACGAGCGAGGTCCTCTTGGCAGAGCGGAGCTCCCCAGCCTGGCAGGCGGCCGGGGTGTGCTGGGGAGGGATGCGTTCGGGAGGGAAGGATGCGTTCGGGAGGGATGCGTTCGCAAATTGGCTCACCCCTGGGCTCGCTGCTGACGCGGCACCTGGTGACAGGCGAGTGTCTCCTGGTGACACAGGCTCCATCTCCATCGCGGCCACCCGTAGCAACCGCAGCCTCTGGCCATCCCCTCCCGCGGGGTCCAGCGGCTCGGCAAGGCAGGAACCCCGGCTTGTGCCTTCATCAGGAGCTGGAAACACCCAGCTCCTGGAGACAGTCCACATTATTTAAAACCATATCCGTTAATTCAGGGCAGTCGGGATTATTATGAGTATTACAGGGCTGAACTTAAAGACACGATTATGTGTTGTACCTGCGAATGCTACTTAATACAAGTAGGTACAATTTTACATTTTTTCCTGTAGTAGAAACTAGCCGAGTTATTGTCAGCTGTTGTAGGTGGTGATTTTGGTCTAGGTGGTATTTAGAAAAATATTTCTGCTTAGTTTAGTGGTTTGCTCTGATTTCACATGAGATAAACATTTAGGGATTTATTACCTAGTGCTGCAATATTATTCTTTGTTAACTCCTCTGAAGTAGCTAGATTTTCAGGAGGAAGCTGAAAATGCATGGTCATTCAGTGTTAAACCCATATATTTTTATTTCATCAAATACTGTTCCTGGAGCTGCATTATAGAAACTTGAGCTTCAGTTGTTGGGTGAATGAGATGCTGTTCCATCCTTCAATGTGTTTGTCTGTTTATGGGAAAAGAGAGACATTGATGGGTTTTCTAGATTAGGATGAAAAGGCTTGCGATTGCATTTGAAGGGAGCCTAATTATTAAAAAAAAAAAAAAAGCTGGGGGAGTTATTAAAACTAATTTTAAAAATACCTTGGAAAATAACAGTTTTTCAAGACATGGAGATAAATGAGAAAAAGCAGCCACTGCTTGCTACATACCTCTCCTGACTTAGGACCTGCCAAGGATGCAGAAAGATGGTTTTTTCAATTTTCATGCATTTAGCTGTCTTAAATTTTTTTTCATTATCCCCAATCCCTGCTTTGCTTTTCTCACCAGGAAAGAGCAAATCAGGGTATAAGTGCACAGAACAGCATGATGAGGCTTGCTTTCTTTTTTCCAGTTATAAAGTTACATTAAACCAATAAAATCGATCTTGTGAACCCCCTTTGTCAGAATGGTGGAGGTGAGGTCTGCGCTGAATGAAAATGAGACTTATGTGTCCTGGTGGTGTCTTGCACAGGCAAACGTGGGATTTGGATGGTGCTTGCAGGGCAGCCCTGCCTGGAAATTAGGCGGTCAGCCTTTTATTTGGCAAATTTTAATTATGTGAGAAATTATGCACAGCAGGAGAAACATACTGCCTGTATCTTTCTGCATATGCAATCTTTGCTTATGCATATGCAATGCCCTGCATTATTTATGCACCTCTCACCTGGCCTCCCACGTAGCGTTTTTTCCAAGTCCCTTGGAACCTAAGCAGCAATATTTTTTTGTACCACTACTTATTTAAACTAAGATTCCTGTGGTATTTTTCACCTGCAAAAAAGGCTTGCATCGCAGCTGGAGGAGCAGTGCTCCCCGATACTGGAAGACCTGTGCATCGTCCCCGTTGACACGATGCCCCCCTGTTGACGAGATGCCCCCCCATTCACAATGTGCCCAACCTCAGAAAGGGCAAAAGCGAGCTCGGGTGCTTGTCTCTGCTTGATCTCTACCATCCAGACCACTGCTCCAGTCACCTTGTCTCACCGCTGATGAGGGTGTGGATGAAGTCTACTTTGCAGAGGAGGAGGCCCTCAGGTTTGAGCAGCTAGAAGAAGCTGAGATAAGTGATCTCGAAGGTGCTTTTGTACAGGTATGGCATTGCTTCCTGCTTGGGCTCAGGTCTGTAATGAGCTCTTGCCGCCC